GGTCTGGCGTTGTAATAATTCGTCTCCGTTCTCTCTCTCTCTCCTCCCTCCTCTCTCTCTCTCCTTCTCTTTCTTTTTATTCTAATATATTAACGATAACCCTCGCGTCAGGAAGCATGATTCATAATTCATCTGTCGCGTTCTTTGTTGGCGATTCTTTGTCGCGACCAGCCAGCAATTAAGTTGGCTCGATAAAAGTTCGTGATAAGGGCGACCATGTTGAATCACTTGATGTCGGTTCGTAGAAAAATCGATTTAACAGACGGAATATTTCATTCGTATAAATGAGATACTTATTGCACGTACAGCCGGATGGAGTCGCTTTTAAAAAAGGAATGATATCACTGGATGCTCAATACGCTATTGATGCTACATTACGTTTTCATTTTCGATTTAAATTGCAGCCTATTATTCTTAATTGAACCTTAATTAAACATTCCTATTCTTCTTGCATTATGAACGGAACAATTATATTTACACGTTTAAGGACAAAAAGCAAAAGAAAAATCGTCTAAGAGATACAACCGAATATAACAAATCTAAAATATAACTTTAAATTTATCTTAATTAATTGCCCACGTTAATTGAACTTAAGTTGCTTAATTTTTATAATCTTTCATTCATAAACAAATTCTAAAAAAGTAAGTCATGAAAACCAAAGTGCTCGTAGGTCGGTCTTTTGCAATGGTTTGATCTTTGGCTCACAACACTCTTATCGTTGGGTCAGTTTTTCGTAAAATTGATTCAACGTCGTGAAATTTAATGTAAGAGAAGCATCTGCACATGGAATTTTTTCAAGAGGTAATTACATACCCTGTTGCTAAATCGTAATGACATCAATTATTGCGATTCCGAATTATACAATGTAATTACACGTATCTTATCTCGCTTACGAATGTGCTACGTGTCAAACATTTCGGATTTGACATTTCAGATCTCTGGATGTTCCGCAACTCAAGAATGTGCCGATAGGAATTTTATTAGACTGATAAAGCATCGCCTATCGGACCAAGAGACTCGGTGGAAAGTATTATGAATAATGATCAGTGGACAATGATTTGCAAACAGCTCTTTCGCAAAGTTACGGTGATCGCGCGACAAGTATACACAGAGTATTTCAAAAGTGGAGATCAATCGCTCAGGAAGTAATTGGGGAGCCAAAAAGAAGAAAAAAAAATTGATATAAAACAATTTCGAATTTCAACATAAAAGTAGCGATAATTCGAAAACAATATGAACTTATGTTCATATCAATTTCCTTTCTTGTTTTCCGATCCCCATTCATCTCTCGAGTGACTGACCTCGACTTACGGAACACCCTGTACATTACGTTTGGCGTGCTCTACTTCATAACATAAGGAAGATTGACGTAAATATACGAAATTGCCGGGCGAGCGGGACGGGGGAGGTTACCGTTTTATGGGATTCTTTTACGACTTACGGCAGTCCTGCGTTCTACTTTGCGTTTACGTCATGCACGACCCTCGGGCGTTTACGCCGCTATTGCGAGTAAGCGGAGGGCTCGTGGCGGAGGCTGTTACGCTCTCGCATCGATATCGAGTGTGCTCCCTCCGAGAGAAATATTTCTGTCCTCCTTGCTTCCCAAATTCTGTAAAAACGCCCCACGTGCGCGCATAAAACGCGCACTCTCCTCCCTCACCCTCGTTGCGTCACTGCGTCCGTGTGTCGACAGCCGTAACTTCGGCGCGACCCCCGCGACGCGCGGGGCGATGAAATTGCGTTAATAAAATATTATAGTCTGTCGAATTGCCGACACGGATTCTGATATTAATAAAAATATTACAGCAGGATTAATTTTAAGAGTAACAATCCAGAAGTCCGAAAGTGCCTCGTCGAGTAAATCGCCGCTTTTCAAGCAAATTCAAGAAAGCGAAATTTAAGTCTTTATACATGAAGAAGGTACAAGGGAAAAAGAGATAGAGATATAAAACTGAACATATAACGATTTTATCGACATGATAACAAGTAACAAGTGGAATTTTTCTCTAGATTATTATAAATAAAACGGCGTTCGTGTGAACGCAAGTACGCGATGCTCCTGATATTCTCAGGTGGAATTCACGAGGATAATATAATCCTCAAGAAAGGTCAGAGTGCGCCGAAAGGCGGTGACGGCGGCGTCGTTCCCGTCGTCTTCGACCTCGGCGTCCCCGCGAACTACAAAACAGGGGGGAGACGAGGAGGACGAGGAGCGCAGCGCGGAATGAAGCGTTTGAGCGGCCCGCTTTCCAGGAACACGGGCGTAAATCACGATTTTATTGCAGATAATTTTACGAGGAGTAGAGCTCGCCGAGACACCGCCGTTGCCGCCGCCGTCGCCGTCGTCGACGGGGACGACGACGACGACGACGCCGTATTAGCTGGCTACTTTAAACTTGTAATCGCGCCACTTGCTCAAGAACGTGCCAGACTCGTCGCGCCGCGAAAGATCGTTAGCGAAACAGCGGAACGAGATGATCTTGACAAATACTTGAAGCGAAAAGAAGGAGAATAACGATTTCTCGTTTTTTTGGATCGACAAAATATGAAAAATGCAACAATATAGGTTTAACTTTTTATGTTTCTAGAATTTCTGACTTGGATATTTCAAGGAAGAAAATTAGGATTAAATTAATTTTTAATAATTATTTTCAATAATTTTAATAACTTCAATAATTATTTTCATGCTTGGATGTATTGTATTTGTGCGATAAAATTGTGAGAACCGATCTAAGAATTTTTAGGTAAATGATCATTATTTAAAGAAACGAGAAGAATAAATACTTATGAATTGTACAATTAAAGCACATTTATTTAAAGGTTTTTAAGGGATTAAAGAAAAAGTCATTTAAAAAATGTCACGTATGTCTCTGAAATTATTGAGAAACGTGTATTATTTTTTTAATTTTTGAAAATATTTATACAAGGCATTAGAGCCTGCGTGATGTTTGTTATAAAATTAAAATTTTCGTGTCAAGATACTTTTTCAATTAGTCCGTAGTGTCAGGCGTCATAAATCAAAGTTTTATAAAGGAGCTCTCAAGTCTAAATTAAATAAAAAGCGAAATAATGAAATTAAGAAAGATTTCAAGAGGGGACCGCGGGCTCGTTTTTCCGCCGGAACTTTATCGACTTCACGAACGAGTTCGTATATCCGGCTGCTGGAGTCAATTAAGTTTGATTACCCGAAAGTTCGGTGAGAGCCAAATCAGCATAAATTCGCGGCACCCTCGACTCCTGACGTAGCCGATCGCAAGACCTCGTCCATGTGGAATTTCGACATGCCACTTCTCGTTTCGCGTTCCTCTTTCTCCACCCTCTTTCTTCTGCCACCCCGGCTCACCCCCGCGGCGGAAGTGCCGTCGGTTTTACGATCGCCGATACGGGAGACGTTTTACCGGAATTAAGATTCCGGGATGGAGAGAAGCGAGAGGGAGACGCTCGCGCCTCGAGCGTGTCTGACACTTTAAGCGTCTCGTAAGTCCGCGGGAGAACGCGTAAATTATTCCGGCGCGTCGCGCGTCTCTTCTTATAAACGCCTTCATTTACATATAGGCTTTTACCGCGGACGGGCGTGTAAGCGTTTTTACATTATTCCGTCATAAAACTCGTGCGCGTACATCTAGTCGTGGAAACCCTTTGGTAAATGTGGAAAGTGTGTGGCTGTCGCGTTTTCGATACGTGCACATAGCTTCGATAGGCGATTTTACAGTAGACGTCAAGTATTAATAATGGATCCCTCTCGATCGGCCTTACAAAGTTCCCCTATCGATGAAAGTTTATGGGAAATGAGTTATTTCAACCTGATTGCAAAGCTGTTAATCTTAGGGATAAAATGCAATTTTTCTTGTACGATAAAATTCAGACGTCAAAGGAAAAAAAGTTCTTTCGCCGCCGGCGCCGCCAATGTTGAATACCGCGAACTTGTTGGCACTTTTTTTTACTCCATCGCGTGCGAAACGCCTGTGATTTCTGATCTAGGATCCTCCATCAAGGATTTCGACAACCGCAGGAATGTCGGTCAGTATGCATGCTCATGGCGGACCGCTGGTGGTCCCCGACTATCACTCTCGGGGCCCATACTTCGCGACCTTGAAAACGATACCGCTCCTTGCGGTAACTTCCTCTTTACCGCCTACGATATCGTGCGAATGTAAATTTCACGGTAGATGCCATTCCGATGCGTAATGCGGCACTTCGAATTCAACACGTGTTTCAAGAACTTGTTTGCTATTGACTTTATTATTTTACCGTGCAAATAGTAATTCACCAATTCAACCATTCTTTGTTTAAAACAAAGTTATGCATATAATATTGCACTTTAGGTTTAAGTGTTTGCAAAATTAATAATAAATATACAGCATTAAATTGTCCTGCGATAAAATTAATAATCATTCTAAGATTATTATAATTAATCAAATCAATTTAAGTATGAATCAGAATTGATCAGCTGTTCAGTATACTGTCTCATCGGCCTTTCCTTTTCTCATCATTTTTTAATCGAAGATCCGAAAAGATGAAGAAAAATCAGAGTGTCACACACGCGAGAAGGTAAGATCAGCACCGAGGCGAGAAGTCGCTCTTTGAGAGAGAGCGGGTCTCTTAAAGAGGATGTATGGGATTAAGATAATAGTCTCGAGAGAGAAGGAACTCGGAAGGTGGAGGAGGCGGAGAAGCAAAAACGAGCGATATGATGTGGGTCAAAGTCTTCGGGACTGGGTCGCCACCGTTGGGTTCCTTCGCCGTGGGTCGGAGTCCCTTGCAAGCTTCTTCGGGATCGACCACGAGTCGCCTCAGAGAGGTTTCAATTCCCACGACGACTTCGGACTTCCGATACTCCTCCTAAATGCCGCGGCCGGAAGTTCCGAGGATGTACTCGTCCTAATTCGATTAATGCGATAGCAGGCTTGCCCTTAGAAAGAAAACGATTCTCCTTCAGCGATTAGATACTCGAGATATAGTAGAAATTTATATTTCTGTTTATAGAAAATTTTATTAAAAGTTCTATATATAATTTGCAAAATTTCACAAAATATCAATGTATCAAACCACATTTAATTCCACAACGAGTAGAAGGAAAATTTTAATATATTATCGATTCCGGCGAACGGCTTAAAAATTGGTGTCATTTATCTTGCAAAGTCTAGAGTTGCAAAAATAATTACGCTGTGTTCTCTCCAGACTGAGGGAGGAAGGAAATGAAATCTCGCAGCTCTGTGACAGATTCATTACAGGGTGATATCGCGGAGCGGAGGGTGAGAAAAAAGCGACGGGGAGGTTTTGGGCGATGACCGATGGTCCGTGGGGTAGGTTGTCGCCTTTTCTTCATTTTTCTCCTTTGCCGCGTGCCATCCCTAACAGGCGTCTCTGTTACGTCTCCTTAATAAGATAAAGCCACAAGCCAAGTATAGCGCGTCTCAATCCTAGGGGAAGGAAATCTTTTAATCTAAGTTCGAAATCGCAAAAAATGCCGTGCGACCTTCCTTCCGATGGAAGTTGATTACTGTCTTCTTTTGCAAGTGCGCAGGATGTTTTAATGAAAGAATTAGTACAAAAGATTCTAAATTATTATTAATAACAAAGGCTTTACGTTTATATACATGTAATTATCCTGATTATACTTCATCTCTTCGATGAAATCTGTGCGTGATATTCGGTCGAGCAAGCAGGGCAAACTTTACCTATTTGCGCGAAAGCGGAATCCTCAGCTTGCAATTATCAGCGCGGAAAATGGAAATGGCGACCCGGTCCTGTTCCGGCGGCCGCGAAATTTCACTTTCCACCCGTTCCATTCTCGGCAAGCGCCGGCCACCACCGCATTCTATCCTATCTGCCAACGCTATAAATTAATACTAATCTCGGAGCAAGCTCATGCAGGCTTCCTAGGCCGCGAAGGGCGGGTTGGATTTATTGGGATTCGAGTAACTCGCTGCGACGTTATCGTCGCTCGCTCCACTGGTGCACCGACTATAAACGCCATCGCTAATCGTGCTTCCGAGTTGTAGAGTCACGTTCAAGGTCGTGTTAAAAGCATTCTATAAACCGACAAATCTTATACTAAAAAAGTTAATTTTATACTTTTTAAGCAGCTAATTTATATGGCTTCTTAAAAGAATCGGGAAATATCATTAAGAAAAATATTTATATAACATTTATATAAAAACTTTGGTCATACAAAAAAAATCTAAAATTATAAATTGTGTGGTAAAGCTGTTTCGAAATTTATTCTTCAATATCTAAAGTTTATTTTATTTATTTCACGATTTAAACAAAGTTGTTAAAATTTTTTTAAGTTGTATATTCCTGTTATTTTTATACGATTTTTGAGCTCATTCTTGCTAGGATTAAGACAGAAAAGAATGAGCACCACTGCAGCGTGTCTAACGTAAGAGGAGGCGACTAGAGGTGGAGGAGGTGAGAGTGAACGTGCGTAGCCGAGGGGGCCAGCTCGAGCAAGCCGGACTTCGAGGTCCTCCACCCTCCTTCGTGCCGCCCCTCAGTCCTCTTCGTGTCTACCTCACCACCATTCCTCACACCCAACCCCTGTCTTCCCGCACTTTCTCTTCCTCCCTTGGTCTCGGCGACCTCCAGGAACAGGCAGGGGTGGCTTCACGACGAGGCTAGAGGAGACGAAGGAGGTGGTCGGGGGTTTCACCGAGGAGGAGGGAGGAAGAAGGGGACTGGGGGTTAGGTCTGAGCCTAGATCAATACTCGCATCTCCTGCTGGCTGGACCAGGCCGGACATCGCGTTCCGAAGCTCACCTTCTCGCCGATATCAAGCCACCCTTCCTACCAGCCATTCTACACTCTGCACCCCCGCGACTGGTCCATCCTTCTTCCTTCCTTTCCTCCCGCCGCGGCCTCTTGGCTGGCCAGCCCTCTCGGTAAACCCTCGCGATTTGCATTCGTCGAGCCTTTCGCAAGGAAGAAAATTTTTTGTTTTACTCCGAAGATATATGTTCTTATAATTTTCTTATAATTTAGATAGATTCAGCGTAATTTTAGCAGAATATGAAATTGCATAGACAGTAAATCAGAATTTTATAAGAAAAACACATAAACTTATATTTATTCCATATGAAGAATGTAGTTTTATGAAGAGATTTCAACTATTGCATATTTAAAAATGCAACATGATGTTAACATCGAGAAATTAAGAGCTATATCTATATCTATATCTATATCTTTAAATTAATATTATATTTTGTTTGAATGACTACACTTTAAACTTCTCTCTGCCTCTTGATGATAAGAATCGCAAATTGTTTCTCTAAATTATACCGGCTGTATTTTGTACAATTTTATCACTATTAAAATTAATTATTACAAATATATTATCATAAATAAATTTTCAAGAAAATTCGATCGTTGTTCCACTTAGATATACTTTTTATTAAATTACATTAATAAAAATTTGATTTATTTCACTAATATAATGTTAAATTAAAATATATTTTATACATTGATATATCGAATACTATCCTCCCATCAATTTTTTTATGCATGTTATCTCACATTCTCTAAAAAGATTTCAGATAATATTACAAGATTAAATTAAATATTTATTTCTTACGTACTTTCAAGGCTGGTTAACTCTTCGCTTCCTGAGTCATGGAGAACCACTGCACATCGGTCAATTTCCCCTTAGTTTCGCCTCGTGCGGAAAGGATGGCCGCTCGCTCTCGCCTCCTCGAATACACTGTTCTATATGTCCGCAAACGAATACAGAAGAGAGAAAGAGAACGGACAATGGAGCCGGGCAAGAGATACGAAAGAGAAAGAGACGCTCGTTCACACACACACACACACACACACACACACACACACACACACACACACACACACACACACACACACACACACACACACACACACACACACACACACACACACACACACACGACACGACACGAC